CTGTACTGCTTACATCACCTTTTCTACTTGCGTCCACCAAGTACTAGCACTTTGTGAATAGACGTTAACCTTTCCTACTTACGCCCACAAAGTACTTCCTACTTACGTTAACCCAGTACTTTGCTCTACTTCCTACTCCCGCTTATCGCCACGTGACTTCGTCTTATCTCCACGTGACCGTGTACTCCGTCACGTGACTTTCGACCCCCCCCTCTTATTCTTTTTTTCTACTCCCCCCTCTTTATTCTTTTTTTTTCTACTCCCCCCACTTCTTCCTAACCCTTTCTAACCACCACCAACCACCGCCCCACCCACCCTATTTCCTTCCCTCCTATTTATACCCCCACGCACCCCTGGACCCTGTTCCTGTACCCTGTACATTCCTCCCACGTACATTCCTCAGTAGTCGCATTCCTCAGAAGTGCCGATCGATCCAATTCTGTTACCCCTTTTTAAAAGAAAAGATCTCACATCCTACTCTGCCTCCTTTTTACGAAGAAAAAATCTATTCAATTGACGTTACTCTCTTCTTTTTTAAAATAATTCATTCCTTTTTATTTTAAACAGAAGATGTATCTCTCATCCTACTCTCTACTCTCTTCCCTCTCTCCTTTTTAAATCTTACTCTAATTTTTTTTACAAACAAAAAATCTATTCAATTCAATCTACTCTCTGAAAATAATTCAATATTTTATCTTAAACAAAAATATCTTTCGTTCTCTCTCTTCTTTCAAAACTCCCTCTTCTCCCTTTACTCTCTTCTTCTCACGAACAAATCATCTATCGAATTGAATCTACTCTCTTCAAAAATATCTCTCACTCTACTCTCCTCTTTTAAAGCTCCCTCTACTCTCTTCTTTTTACGAAGAAAAGATCTATTCAATTGACGTTACTTCAAAAATAATTCAATACTTTATTTTAAACAGAAGTATCTTTCGTTCTACTCTCTTCTCTCTTCTCACTCTACTCTCTCTTCTTTAAAACTCACGTTAATCTCTTCCTTTTAAATATCTCTGTAATCTCATCTTTTTACAATTAAACGATCTATTTAATTCAACTTTTCCTTTTCTCTTTTTTAAAATACTCTCTAATCTTTTTTATAAACAATTCATCAAATCGACGTTACTCCAAAATAATTCAATACTTTTTATTTTAAATAGAAGTATCTCTCATCCTACTCTCTCTCTTCTCACCCTACTCTCTTCTCACTCTACTCTCTTCTCTCTCTACTCTCTTCTTTTTAACTTTAATTTTCATCTAATTCTACTTTTAACAAAAAAATCTACTTTTAACAAAATTATTTTTAAATTCTTATTTTTTTTAGTCAATAAAAAATTAATTCTACTTCATTTGATCAATTGTTAAAAATATTTCTAAATTTTCATCTTACTAATGAAAAATCAATTCATTTTCATATAATTGAGTGCTAAATAATTTTTTTATATTTCATTTTCAATTTCACTTTTAATTTCATCTTCATTTTTAAAATCCTTTTAAATTTGATTTAATTCTACTTTTAATAAAAATATTTTTAAATTCTCATCTTTTTTTAGTTGATAAAAAATCAATTCTACTTCATTTGATCAAGTGTTAACAGTTTTTTTAGATTTCATTTTTATATTTTAATTTCATTTTCATTTTCATTTTAAATTTCATTTTTAACTTTAATTTTAACAAAAAATTCTAGTTTTAAGAAAATTATTTTTAAATTCTTATTAAGTCAATAAAAAATCGATTCTACTTCATATAATCAAGTGTGAACAAATTTTTCTAAATTTTCATCTTTAGTAATCAAAAGTCAATTTATTTTCATATAATCAACTGTGAACAATTTTTTTACATTTCATTTTAATTTCATTTTCATTTTCACTTTTATTTTTAAAATCCTTTTAAATTTGATTTAATTCTACTTTTAATAAAATTATCTCTAAATTCTCATCTCTTTTTAGTTGATAAAAAATCAATTCTACTTCATTTGATTAATTGTTAACAATTTTTTTAGATTTCATTTTTTATTTTTTTATTTTAATTTTTATTCTAATTTCATTTTAATTTTAAATTTCATCTAATTCTACTTTTAATAAAAATATTTCTAAATTCTCATCTTTACTATTGAAAAATCAATTCATTTTCATATAATCAAGTGTGAACAATTTTTTTTACATTTCATTTTAATTTCACTTTTAATTTCACTTTTAATTTCACTTTTATTTTTAAAATTCTTTTAAATTTGATTTAATTCTACTTTTAATAAAATTATCTCTAAATTCTCATCTCTTTTTAGTTGATAAAAAATCAATTCTACTTCATTTGATTAATTGTTAATTTTTTTACATTTCATTTTCAATTTCACTTTTAATTTCACTTTCATTTTTAAAACCCTTTTGAATTTGATTTAATTTTACTTTTAACAAAATTATTTCTAAATTCTCATATTTACTAATGAAAAATGAATTCTTTTTTACATAATCCAGTATTGATAAATTTTTTTACATTTCTTTTTTTTTTTAGATTTCATTTTTAATTTTAAATTTCATCTAATTTTAGTTTTAACAAAAAATTCTACTTCTAACAAAATTATTTCTAAATTCTCATTTCTAGTAGTAAAAATCAATTCATTTTTATATAATTGACTGCTAAATAATTTTTTTATATTTCATTTTTAAAATCCTTTTAAATTTCATTGAATTGTACTTCTAATAAAACCTACTCTAACCCTTCATTTCTCATCTTTACTAATGAAAAATCAATTCAATCTTACTTGATCTATTCAACAAATTTTTTTAGATTTCATTTTTATTTTTCATTTTCATTTTTAATTTTAAAATCTTTTTTTTTTAAATTAAAGATATTTTTAAATGGACATCTTTTTTTTAATAAAACCTACGTTATCCTTTCATTTCTTATATTTATCAATGAAAATTCAACTCAACTTGTCCAATTTATTCATTTTTTTTTATTTTTATTTTCATTTTTAAATTTCATTTTAAAATCTTTTCTTTTTTTTTTAAATTATTTTTAAATAAAAACATCTCTCAAATCAATCTCTTTAATTCAATTCAACCTTATTGAATGGCTTACTTTTATTAAATCACCACTAGCTTCGCCCTAACGACAGACTAATTTTTGCTAAACAGATGGATTCGTTTTTTTTCACGATAAGCAATCTCTAACTCTTTTTTTATCATAATCATAGACTCTTTTTCATAAACAATAGATTTCACTACTTTTTTTTCAATCATTTTACTGGTTTTTTACAACAAACTTGGATTTGACTATTTTTTTTTTAAAACAAGTAATAAATTTCACTAGTTTTTTTAAAATAATAAACAGATTTTATTTTTTTTTTAAATAAACAATAGATTTCACTAGTTTTTTTAAAACATGTAATAAATTTCACTATTTTTTTTGTAATTAGCGTAGAGTTAAATATTTTTTTTACAACAAACTTGGATTTGACTATTTTTTTTAAAGTAATCATAAAGTTTTCTCTTTTTTTTTAAATAATCATAAAGTTTATTACTTCTTTTATAATTATTCTAATCGTTTTTACAATAAACTTGGATTTCACTAGTTTTTTTCAATGATTTTAGAGTTTATTAATTTTTTTGAAATAATCAATAGATTTCCTAGTTTTTTACAACAAACTTGGATTTTAGTAATTTTTTTAAAACAAGTAATAAATTTCACTACTTCTTTTGTAATTAGCCTAGAGTTAATTAACTTTTTTACAATAAACTTGGATTTCACTATTTTTTTCCAATGATCTTAGAGTTTAGTGATTTTTTTTAAATAAACAATTGATTTCACTAGTTCTTTTGTAATTAGCGTAGAGTTTACTGATTTTTTAAAAATAAACAATAGATTCTACTAATTCTTTGGAGTAATCATAAAGTTTACTTGTCTTTTTAAAATAAACAATAGATTTTAGTAATTTTTTTAAAACAAGTAATAAATTTCACTACTTCTTTTGTAATTAGCCTAGAGTTAATTAATTTTTTTACAATAAACTTGGATTTCACTATTTTTTTCCAATGATCTTAGAGTTTAGTGATTTTTTTTAAATAAACAATTGATTTCACTAGTTCTTTTGTAATTAGCGTAGAGTTAAATAATTTTTTTACAACAAACTTGGATTTTACTATTTTTTTTAAATAAACAATAGATTTCACTAGTTTTTTCCAGTGATTTTAGAGTTATTAATTTTTTTGAAATAATCATAAAATTTATCAATTTTCTTGCAATAATTCTACTGGTTTTTTACAACAAACTTGGATTTTATTTTTTTTTTAAAGTAATCATAAAGTTTGCTCTTCTTTTTTAAAGTAGTTATAAAGTTTCCTCTTCTTTTTAAAATAATAAAAGAATTGAATAAATCTTAGTACTTCTTTTTAAATGGACATTCAGTTGACTCATTTTGCAATGAAATTCTAGTGGTTTTAGAAGAGTCGGGTGATCTGGCTAGTCAGTTTAGGGTTAGGGTTAGGGTTACAGTTTTCATGATCATTCCATTTTCAATCGATCTAATGTTTCTCTTTTTGATGATCATAAAGCTCTCGATTTCAACTCTTCTTTTAATGGGTTCAACATCACTGGTTTCTCTGGTTAGATGGATTAGGGTTAGGGTTAGGGTTAGAGTTTCATGATAGATCCATTTTACAATCATTTTAGACTGGTGTCGTTGTTTATAATGAGATGAGATGGACTCATTTTACGCTGGTTTTACGCTGGTTTTATACTTGACTCTTTTTTTTTAAAATAATGATAACCCCTACCTAATTTTTTAAGATACGCAGAACTCTCTTTTTTTCACGATAATCCATTCATTCAAGTACTTTTACAACAAATTTAAACATGTTCTTATCATAAATTTTATTAGCTCTTTGATAAGCTTAAACTTTACCCGATAAAGCATAGTTTCGAACTAAGATTCTGTGTTAAAATTATTAAAACTTCATTTCATTCATTTACATCTATATTATATATAAACAATGGATATATGCACATTTTCATTCTATTAACATTTTTTTCATTCATTTACATCATCCCCATAACAATCACTCCCAACAACATTATTTTAATCATATCAGGAACTCTTATTTTCATCCCATCATTCGGTTTTACATCTTCTTCTCCTTCTTTTCCTCCTTCTTCTGTCTCTTTGTTTGAATCAGTAGTACATTTGGTAGGTTTGCACTTGCGCATTGAGGTCAACGTCACTGTCGACGTCACCGTTGACGTACTCGTTATCGTACTCGTATGCAATGACGTACTCGTCACCCATGTATCTGTTGTTTGTATCATTGTACACTCTTCTGTTACTTTTCCTCCACTTCCCGGCTTGGTTGTAGTAGTAGTTGTCGTCGTAGTCGTGGTAGTAGTCGTGGTAGTGGTCGTTGTAGTGGTCGTGGTAGTGGTTGAGATTTCTTTTTGCGTCTCTGTATGATGAGGCTTAATTTCTAATGGTTTTATTCCTCCGCATAACGTGTCTATTTCTTTACAAGCTGGTTCAGTTTCCTTACAATCCTCTTTAAAACCGCAATCTAGTTGTAAAGCGCTGCATTCCTCTTTCAATTCCAAATACAATTCCAATGCTATCGTCGTTGCATCAAATGCTTTGACCTCTGCTTCTGATACTCCTCCATCTACATATGCTCTTTTAACGAGTCCAAGTTTTGCATTATTCGTCGTTCCATCTGGTGTGCCTGGTGTGCCTGGTGCACCTGGCGTTCCATTTTGTGATGGTGGTGGTGGTGGTGGCCCTGGTGGTGGTGGCACTGCTGGTGATGATGGCGACCCTGATCCTGCTGGTGCTGGTACTGGTCCAGAAGCATTGCTATCCTGTCCACTTGGCATTGCGGCTTTTCCAGACTTTGATAGCAATAACTTAGCTGCCTCTGTAGATTTTTCTGCCACCTGTTTGAGCTCATCGTATTCATCTTTCTTCTCTGTCAACTCATCTTTCGCTTTCTTCAGTTCGTCTTTTAAAGTAAGACATCTCTCTTTTACTTTACCAACTAATTTTTTGCAAACATTTCCCTTGGTAGGATCATCACAATTAGTAAGCAGAATTTTGAATGTTTGATTCTTTTCCAACTCAGTGCAATTCTTTCCTAATGCTTCTTTACATTCATCTTCACTCTTTAAACTTCCTTTCAACAGATGAGTCAGCTCATCCTTCGCTTTCAACTTTTGAAAGGTTTCCTTGCATTTTTCATCGAGTGCTTCGCAGTTATGATCTTTATCACCTTCTTTTTTCAACTTATCCGGACAATTCTTCACAAGTTGGTGACAATGTCGGCCCCATGTTGTGCAGAGTTCTTCAAGTGCTGTTTCATTTCCATTTGCTCCTCCAATTTTTCCTACAATTCCTCCATTCTTGATGTTTTCTTTTAAATATTTACAATCTTGACTTGTATGGAATACCATATAACTACATGTTTCTTCTGGTAAAGCACATGAAACACTAAATGAATTCTTTCTCCTCTTATATAAAGTATTACATTTCTCATGCAATACCTTTGTACAGTTTTCCTGAGTCATTAACGAATCATCCTTTTTTTCTAAAAATACATTTCTAAATCTTTCTGTAACCTTAAAGTATTCACAGCGTCTTTTCAATGTTATACACTTTTCTAAATTCAATAATGAATCACTACCAAGTTCATCACACTTCTCCACCAATTCAAGACAATCCTTTTCTAATGGAAAATCCCTTTGATCATCTAAAAGCAAACTTAACTCTTTGGATTGAAGAAAAATATCATTTGAAACCGCATAACATAGTTCTTTAGGATAAAGACATTTTGAAAGGTATCTTTTATCTTTAAGTTTTGTACAGTTTTCTACCACATATTTTTTACAATCTTTAGGATCGCTATAAAATCTTACATGACCAAGCTTTCCCTTCAATTCCTTTTGAAAGAACTTATTCAACATCCTGTCTTGTCCCTTTTTATAGCACGCTGCTCTTGCATTTTGACATGCTTCATCAATCTTATTCGTACACGCCTTTTCTAAATAGAAACATTCCGACTCAAGTTCTGCACACTCTCCTTTTATAAAAAAGGTTGGAAGCTGTCCCCACAATAAAGGATCTGATTCTTCATTATTATATTTTGTAGACAACCCTTTGAGATAAAGTTTTAATTTGAGATTTGTACATCTTTCTTTTACATTTACATCTAGTAATCCTTTGCATTTGTCGTTATCATTTTTATCGCATAAATCTTTCAAATTATGGTCCAAATACTTAGAAGCATCACATTTTCCTAACGCTTTTTTGCATTTATTTGTTGCATCCGTCTGCTTCTCATCTCTGCTCAACACTAGCAAGAGATCTTGCAGAAATTTTGTACCTGACTTCCTTGGTAGATCCACTCCTGTTTTTCCAATAATAATCCCATGTTTTTCCGCATTTTTATACACATCATCAAACCCAATACTTCTCAACAACGACGGCTTCGGCTTGACCGGACTAGAATCAGATTCCGGCGCTTTATATGTGAATCCTTTTCCCTCGCATTTCGTCTTATCCTCCTCGCACTTTGTACCAGTACATGCTTCTCCGTAAAAATGACATTTCTCAAGTCTTTCATGACACTTTTCCTTTAATTCTTTCTCATCCAATTTTGTTTGTAAAGACTTGCAAACTTCTTCTGATTTTTTTTTCAGCTCTTGACACGTTCCATCCGAATCAAGGCAGAAAAACATCAATTCGTCGCTTTCTCGGCTTAATACTGGGCAAACAGTTTCCATCTTTCCTTTACATTTACCATTTTTAACATCCCCTCCGAGCGCCCTCAAAAGAAGCTCCTCTGCCACCTTTTTACGCTTCAATTCGTAACATCCTTCCCTCAACTTGACACAGTTCTTCTTAATATCTTCATGATCCGTCTCTTCTAAAAGTATACATTTTTCTTCATAATTTTTACATTCTTCATCTTTTACGTCATCTACCGATGCATCAAGTTCATCATTAAAAGTTCCCAATTCTTTTTTAACTTTGTCTTTCAGTTCTTGGCATTTTTTCTCTTGTTTTGTTTTATCACCACCACCACAAAGTTCTTTAACTTTATCATTCACTTTGAATTGACCATCTACTTCCTTCAAGTCTTGACAATATTTCTCGAGTTCTCCTTTGCAATCCTTCTCATATTTGTCCTTCACAATGAAAGCCAAAAGGTGTTCCTCCTTAATCTCATCTTGTGCTCCTTGTACTGCTTGCCTCTTAACCGGCCGTGCCATTGCCACCTCTTTTTAGGGAGTTTAGTGGGTTGTTTCTAAATTGAATATGGGTAGAGTGAAAAGTTAGTTATTTTGAAATGATTTTTTACGACAAACTTGAACTCGTTCTTATCATAAACTTTAGTTCTTCGATAAGCTTAAACTTTACCAAATAAAGTATAGTCTCTAATTAAGATTGTGTGTTATAATTAAAACTTCATTTCATTCATTTAGATTTCTATTATATATAAACAATGGATATATGCACATTTTCATTCTATTAACATTTTTTTCATTCATTTACATCATCCCCATAACAATCACTCCCAACAACATTATTTTAATCATATCAGGGACTCTTATTTTCATCCCTTCACCCGGGATCACTTCTTCTAGTCCTCCTTTATCTGTCTCTTTGTTTGAATCAGTAGTACATTCTGTAGGTTGGCACCTGAGCATCGAGGTCGACGTGACTGTTGACATCAGTGTTGACGTCACTATCGACGTGTTCGTTATCGTATTCGTCACCCATGTATCCATTATCCGTAGCAATGTACACTGTCGTATTACTTCTCCACCTATTGAATTGGTTATAGTAGCCGTCGTAATAATCATCGTAATGGGTTTTGTTTCCGTCATCGTAATGGTTTTTGTTTCCGTCATCGTAACTGTTGTTTTCTCTGTATGATGAGGTGTAATTTCTAATGGTTCCAGTTTACATAACATGTCTACTCTTCTACATATTCTTTTAGAATCCGAACAATCCTCTCTAAAATTGCAATTTAGTTCTAAAGGTTCACATTCCTCTTTTAATTCCAAATACAACTCCAATGCTATCATCGTTGCATTAAATGCTTTTAGCTCTGCTTCTGGAAGTTCTTCAGCTACATACGCTCTTTTAACGAGTCCGAGTTTTGCATTCTTTGTCGTTTCACCTTGTGTGTTTGGTGTTCCACTTGATGTATCGGATGTTTCATCTTGTAGTGGTGGTGGCTGTGCTGGTACAGAACCACTGCTATTCTGCGCGCTTGGCGTTACGGCTTGTCCAGGCTTTGATAGCAATAACTTAGCTGCTTTCGTAGATTCTTTTGCCACCAGTTCCGCCTCTTCGTATTCATCCCTCTTGTTTTCCAACTCTTCCACTTTCACCATATTGGTTTTTAAAGTAGAACATATCTTCTGTACTTTTCCAACTAATTTTTTGCAGACATCTACCTTGGTAGTATCATTACAATTACCAAGCAAAGCATTGAATATTTCATTTGATACTGCTTTCCATTCGGTGCAATACTTTCCTAAGGTTTCTTTACATTTACTTACATCTCCTAAATTGCCTCTCAAGAGATAAGCTAGTTCATCTTCCAATCGTTTTTTCTCCCAGAATGGCTTGCAGTTCTCTTTCAGTTGTAAACAGACTCCTTTTTTATCAGTGCTATTGGAATTATTTTTTAATGTCTCTGGACAATTTTCCATAAGTTGATCACAATATGGATCCCATAGCACGCAGGTTTCTTCAACCAATGTTTCATTTAAATTTTTGGTTTTATTCAAAATTCCATGCTTTTCCACGTTATTTTTAAAAATATTACAATGATTCTTAGCTTCTGAAACCATAAATTTACATGTTTCTTCTGGTAAAGCGCATAAAACATGATATAACCCCCCCCCCCCCCCCCCCCACTCCACCTTTAAGTAATTTACCACATTTATCCTTCAAGGCTTTCATGCATTTTTCATTATCCGCTAATGCATCACTTTTTTCTTTCAAAAACGCATATTTCAGTTCTTTTCTAACTTTAAAATATTCACATCGCTCTTTCAATGTAACGCATTTCCCATTATTTAAACCTAAATCTTTCAAAACACCTTCACAATCCTCTTTCAATTTAATACAGTCCTTTTCTAATGGAAAATCCCTTTGATCATCCAAAAGCACACCTAACTCTTTGGATTGAAGAAAAATATCATTTGAAACCGCATAACATAGTTCTTTAGGATAAAGACACTTTGGAAGGTATTTTTTATCAAGTTTTCTGCACTCTTCTACCACAAATTTTTGACATTTTTTAAGACTTTCACTATTAAATCTTAAATCACCAAGTATTACCCTCAATTCCTTTTGAAAGAACTTATTCAACATCCTGTCTTGTCCCTTTTTATAGCACGCTGCTCTTACATTTTGACACGCTTGATCAATCTTATTATTTTTACACGCCTTTTCTAAATGGAAACATTCCGACTCAAGTTCTGCGCACTCTCCTTTCGTAAATAATGTTGGCAGTTCTCTCCAGAATAAATGATCTGAATCAGCTTTTTCATCATATTTTGTAGACAACCCTTTCAGATAAAGATTTAATTTGAGATTTGTACATCTTTCTTTTAAATTTACATTTAGTAATTCTTCGCATTTGGCGTTTTTAGTATTTCCATCATCGCATAACTTTTTAAAATCAGTATTCATATACTTAGAATCATAACAATTTTCTAACGCTTCATCGCATTTATTTTTTAGTTCCCTCACTGGCTCATATCTGCTCAACACTAACAAGACATCTTGCAGAAAATGATCACCAAACATCCTTGGTAAATCCATTCCTACTTTTCCAATAATAATTCCTTCTTTTTCAGCCTTTTTATACACATCATCCAACCCAATCATTGTCAACAACGACGGCTTCGGTTCGACAGGACTAGAATCGGATACTGGAGCTTTATATGTAATATTTTTTTCCTTGCATTTCGTCTTATCCTCCTCACACTTTTCATCACATGCTGGTCCGTAAAAATAACATTTCTCAAGTCTTTCATAGCACTTTTCCTTTAATTCATTCTCATGCAATTTTTTTTTCAAAAGTTCGCAAATAATCTTCAATTTTTCTCTTAGATATATACATTTGCTAGTTGGATTAAGACAATAATCCATCAACTCGTAACTTTCTCGGCTTAATATTGGGCAAATCTTTCCCAACTTTTCTTTACATTTAACAGTTTGTTCTGAATATTTTTCACTATCTTTAGCACCTTTTCCAAGAGCCCTGAAAAGGAGCTCCACTGCCACCTTTTCACGCTTCAATTTGTAACATTCTTCCCTTAACTTGAGACACTTCTTCTTAATATCATCACTATAACCCGTGTCTTCTAAAAGTATACATTTTTGTTGATGTCCTTCACATTTTTCTTCACTTATGACATGTCTTATTTTATTAAGTTCTTCTTTAAAAGCTTCCAATTCTTTTTCAACTTTTTCTTTCATGTCTTTGCATTTTTTATCTATATTTTCACAAATTTCTTTAACTTTACTATGAACTTTATTTAATTCTGAATCTATTCCCTTCAATTCTTTACAATATTCATTAAGCTTTGATTTGCATTTATTTTTATCTTTATAATCTTCTCTCAAAATATAAGCAACGATTTCTTCTTCCTTAACAGCAAAATCCTTAAACGGCGTAATTCCAGCGCTTACTTGAGGATCTCTAGCTTTCAAATACGTGTTTTGATTGCCATAAGTAGGAACTATAAATAGTTAAAAATAAAAATAATCCAAAATATAATCACCAATTAAAATCAATATTCCTAGAACTATAATTTTATTAATTATGGAAAAGAACATCTTGTATTATTTCTGGATCCCAATATATAACATAAATATTAAAAATATGCTTCTAAATTGGGTCCTTTATTAAGCTTGATAGTTATTTCATAAATAGATTTTAAGATGAATTTCGCAGTTTTTATTAAACCCTAAAAAAATTAGGAAAAACTATTAAAAATAAAAACCATTACAAATCCTGATTATAAATTTAAATGATCTTTCTTGCCTTTTTCTATATTCCTTCTTATCCCATTCAATCGTTTTTTATAAAATAATATGTAATTTACATTTTATTTTATTTATCGACTTTTAACATTTATTTTAATTCATTTCAAACTTTTACTACTTTTAATACTATATTATTATCCTTAAACCTAGTATATTTCTTATTTATAACTTCATTCAAATAACTAATTCTTAAACCTTTTTCTTTAATCAATACATTGTTTTCAATATTGATTTATAATCAATACTTCTTCTGATCTTTAGTTTTAATTAAAGAATACTCGACTAATGATGTTTGACATGTACTTTTAGTTTAATTGAACACATTCTCTTCTCTATTTTTTCTTATATAAAAAAATCTTCTAAAAAAAAGTTGTGTTTTAAGGGCAATCTTTTTTAAAAGTTGAGTAATTTAAGTAATCAAATGTTTTATTTTTTAGAAAAGAGAAAGATAATTTTAATTATTCTTGAATTTAAACGTTTTTGTTGATAATATTTTGTTAGTGTCATTTTTAATAATAATGATGTTTCTCAAAGTATTCTTTATTAATTCTATAAACTCAAACTGATAACAGTAAATTTTATAAAATGGTAAAAAATAAATTCTAAAATATCAAAAATGTTTAACTATTTCATATAAATAATAATAAAAACATTTATCTGTTACTTTAAAAATAAAATCACCAAACAAAAAAAAACTTAAAATAAGGATTATTAAATATGACCAAAAAAATATATTATTTTTAAAAGCGCGTTATTTTTAAATATAAGTAAATAAAAAACTATATTTTCCACATATATAAGTGTCTCATTTTAAGCCGAGTAAATATTTAAAATACTTGTTTAAATAACAATACAAAAAAATGAAAAAATAATATTTAAATAATTATTTATATTTATTAAAAATGTTCTTATAATCATATAAATCAGCTCTATTTTTCAAATTTCATTCAGACATATTTCCTTTATTTTTCTAGATATTTTGATATTTTTATAATTGTTGATTTTCATAAATATAAAAACTCTTTTTATTTGATATATTGTATACAGCTTATTTTTAATCAAGTTACCATCTTAACTGTCAATCATAAAAAATATTAAGGGTATTACCCTTCATTTTCTGAAATCCCTCATCGGAGGTAAGAAAAAAAGTCCGCAAAAAAAACAGTACTTTCAAAAGTACCAAAAACATTTGGCAACGATTATATTCGCATATTATATCTTAAATATTCTGTTTTACAAGAGGCTATAGAGTTTATTAATAAAAGATATACAACAAACACTTCATTTTTAGATAATATTATAGTAATTCAGGACTCTTGTTAAGCAAGATTTTTTTCAAGACTTTTTTCCAGTATTTCTTAAAATAGCACATATAAATACTCTTTTCTAGATTATTTAGGATAAAGGGAGGGATTCTTACTAAATAAAATAGATTATTTAACAATTTATTAAACGCTCTAATTACCCCTTTGATCCTATTGAATTTAATAGCAGATATTACATGTTTAATTTACACTGAAGATAACGTGCCTATTCCTGGATAAGCATTGAATATATCCTTTTGGAGTGTATTAGTTGAGTGAATAAAAGATATACATCAGATGCGAAGAATCAATATTAAGCAATAGTGATTATAAAAATATGAATCAAAAAGATAATATAGATAAGGAGGGCATAGAAGGGGATGAGGAAGAAAATTTTGTTCCTACTGGGGAATCTGCAAATGGATTCCCAGAAATATCTTTAGAATTGTCGAATACACATTATAAGGAGTTATTGGAGACATTACCAAAACCGTATTCAGAAAAAAATGATAATGATGAACCGGAATTTACCTTTGATTTTGAAAAAAAAATAGAAAATCTGCTGCCTATGAATAATGAGATTCTGGATAAAAAATATACCATTGTTGAAACTTCAAATAAACAAATATCTGGGTTAAATATCCAGGAACATGTTCCCAGCGTGATAAACAACAAAAATGACTATTCTTTTGCCAACATGAATCAGGATTCATCATATAAAACAAAGATACAGCCATTAGATAATGACCAAGTGAACCCAGAAAAACATAGTCCAGTATTTCATGATATCGACATATCTTTACTTTCTAAAACAATTCAGGAGACAATCCAACAAAACTGCCAGTTGCTTTCCGATGCACCTAATCCCATTCCCAGCAGCCTCGATCTTCAAAAACTCCTGGCGAGCTTATCTCCTGTCCCTAAGACAGACCCACAGTCAGTTACATTCCAGACAACTGCAAATAATCCACTCTCTCCGGATATCTTAAAAGCCTTAAATTCTGTTTCTTCTATAACCGATACCAATTCTGTTAATTCTTCATTGATACAATATCCCAATCACAAAAATGCTAATAGTAATCATGATGCTCCATGTACTCCACAAGAAGACGCCTTATTTCAGAAATTTCTTGTAGATGAAAAACAGATTATGTCAAATACATCACCACATGAATTTCCATCAGGATCTCGGATGTTTATAGGTATTTTAGACTCATATATATGTATTTTTATTAGGCATATTGAACTAATATTTTTAAAAGGTAATTTGCCGACTGAAAAAGTAACAAAAAAAGATGTTTTTCGTATTTTTCATCAATATGGACGATTAGGTCAAATTGCATTGAAGCAAGCCTATGGCTTTGTTCAGTTTTTTTCATCAGAAGAATGCCAGAATGCAATTAATGGTGAACAGGGAACTATGATTCGCGGGAGAAAGATGCGTAAGTTATACATAAAAAGCAATAAATATATTCAAATTTCTTTGTAGATTTAGAAGTTTCAAAACCACAAAAACATAAAATTCCTCCTTCTAATGATAAAAAAAACTATCGAGCCAGATCACGATCTCCGGATATAAGAGATCGGTCTCCAGCACGTGGAAGAAGTAGAAATCATGGACGTGGGAATCATGGATATGGCATTTTATATGATCGTGATAATAAAAAAGATCGATATAGCTCAAGAGATGAATTTAGCAAACGACCATCATCTCAATCTCGATATCATAGAGATCGAGGAATTGATTATGGAAAAGATTACAGATCTGCTTCTCCTGATCGATTTCGCAATTATTCACATCAGCAAATAGATAATTTTCCTCTTCCTCGCCGATATGGTAATAACGTTCCAGAATGCCAAATTATTATTACAGATGATACTGACAGGTATTTGTCGTGCAGGCATTTAAATTTATTATTAATAAAAATTATAGGAGTTTTATTTATTTTGTTGAAAAGGCTTTTAAAGAGAAAGGTTTTCGTATAGATACATTGTTTTTATCACCAAGATTACCATTGCCTTCTGTTGTTCAACAAATGATTATCGAAGGGATAATGGCTATAATATTTCTTAATAGGCAATTACAATCTCAATCTAAAATTTCAATGCAAATCTTTGATCGAAAAGCTGATAGCTCTGATGTAAAATTTGACGGTAATTAATAAAACAATATTTTTAAAATACTAAACATTATAAAAGAATACGCAAATATTGATGTTCATGTTGCAGTAGCATTAGCTCTCCGCAAAAAACAGTCCATTCTACAATTAACAAATGCATATGGAATGTCGAATTATAATAATACTAGTTTTCAATCTCAAAATACACCTTCATTTGGCATAGCAAATTCGGACTTAGCAAATTTAATTGGATCTCTTGATCCGACAACTCTTCAAAAGGTTATTGGAGCATTAACACAATCATCTCAGCAATTGACACCTCAAATACAGCATATGCCTTATACATCTTCTCTACAAATTCCGTATCAAGGATCTTCTACCAACCAAAATTATCAAATAAATCAGGGAATTGTGCCTTTAATAACATCTACAATATCTCCGCAAGGACAACAACCTGCTCAGCAAGTCCAGGATATTTTAGGACAATTAGCAAAACTTCAAGGACAACAGAGATAGAATTTAGTGTCAATTTATGATCAAAATAACCATATTTTTATAGATAATTATAGAACGTACAACCTTTTGATGAATTACAATTATTTGGTTTTAACACTATAGCAATCTCTTTTTTTTTGAAATGAAAAATTTGCATTTTATAAAAGAATTCGTTTATGTATATATAAACATATGTATACATTACTTCATTAAATGTAATAAAAATGAAAAACAATTAAATTTAGGCTGTTTCTTTTCTTCTAAAACAAATAGCATCAGAAACGATTTGCACTTGTATAACAATAAGGTAGAAAAATTAAAAAAATTACATCATTAATATATAAAATATACAAGTTTCAACATTTCAAATAATATTAATTCTATATTTAACATAAATATTGAGAAATGTAGATCGAATATAAAAAATCCTTTTTTATCTAAAAGATATTCGAATCGGATTTTTCTTTTATTTTTTTTTAAAAAGATGAAGTCTAAAGAAGCACCTTTGAATCAAAAAGGGATTCCTACAGCTCCCTTTGTTGATAAAATTGAAGATTATGTAACATCACAAGAACAAGTTGAACCAACACTTAGACAATTTCAAAAATTAATTGCGTAAGTACTTTCAGCGTTTAAAAAATCTGAGTAACAAATAAATAGAAAGTATCGTTTTATGGAGATTAGTTTTCAGAGACATACAGCTGGGCTTTTGGAAAAAATTCCAGAGATGGATAAAACTTTGCAAATGCTACGTTTTTTGGAATCAAAAAAGGTTTTTTTTTTATTAAATCAGACATTAAATATAATATTCTCAGGAAAATAAAGAACCTTTTGAGACATATTTTGAGCTAGATGACACACTTTATGCCAAAGCTGTTATTCCACCTACAAATAAAGCAGATATCTGGCTTGGAGTACCTTTTTCTAATATTTCAAGTTTTTTACTGATAGGTTAAGGCAAATGTTATGATAGAATATCCTATTCCAGAAGCAATTGAATTTCTTTTGTCGAAACTTGCTAGTGCAAAGGAATCTTTAAAACAATATGAAGAGGATTTAGAATTTGTTAGGGAAAATATTACAACATTAGAAGTCAATATTGCAAGAATATATAATTGGGTATATCTGATTTATAACATAAAAAAAAAAGCTAACATGAATAATAGGATGTAATGCAACGTCGAAATAAAAAAGAATAAAGTACAAAAATTAGTCTCGAAAAATAAACATTAGATTAAGTTTTGCAAAAAATAATTATTAATATGAAAAAAGAACAGAAATTATAAAAGGAATCATAAGGTATATTCAAAATATAGAATAAAAATAAATTTAGAGGGCAGCGTTAACAATTAATAGCAAGATGATTAGCCTTTTTTCTTAACTAAAACCAACTTTATAAATCTTCACTCAGCATCATAAAAAAATTCATCAACATAGTCTATCTATTTTAAAATCTATCTTTAATCGGATCTCAATTATACTTAAAAAACTCGATATTATAATATCCTTTAACTTTATTTACCAATTTTTTTAAAAATATACTGTATATTATCAATTAATTGTAAAATAGATCAATCCTTTACTACATTCTTTAGAAATATAACTAATGTCGTATTATTAAACTAGGCTGATCTACCTTTAATTTAAACTACTAGATTTCTGAATTTTTTCGTAATATATTTAGTTTTTTTATAACAGAATATTTATTACAAATCTTGTAAAAGTATTATCTTTTTTTAAATCAAGGAAAAATTACTCTTATTTAATGAAATATATACCATTTAAATTATCAACATATTTACCGTTTCTTTTAAATAAAACATATTATACAAATTCAATTCATGTTTATAATATATCAAATATCTTTATATAAATACAAATACTACAGAATTTTTTCTGTTGTAGAATTTCTTAAATCCATTATATAAATACTTGTAATTGTTTATGTTTTTTTTTTAAACAATTTTAAATTCTTAAAGTTTCTTTTATATATTTAATATCGATTATTTCAATTCCTAGAATAACAACAGTGAGAATAGAAAAAGTAGATTATTATATATGATTCTAACATTTATAAAAATTTAAAATAAATGTCAGAAAGAAAAAAGATAGATCATAATAATTATAAAAGATATTTAAACAAAGATATATATTACATTAAACTAATTAACAAACCTAATAGTCTAAACATTCATTTCTTCAAATAAAATGGATAAAATAAAAAAACAACTAGGTCAAAGTGTTTAGAGAAGTTTAAGATGGAATTACCAAAATATATAAGAACAATCTAATGGGAAAACTATAATCATTTAATAACAATACCAATATTTCCATAATTTTCAACGTCATCGAAAGAACTTAGTGTATTTATATAACCAACAGCTTCTTTATCCCAAATAGAAAATAAAGAACCTTCTGACAATTTGTTAGTATATAAAGACTCAGGCGACATATTAAAAGAATGTTTATGATTATCATGAGAAATCCTATTCATTTTACTGTCTTGTAGAAGGTTGTATCGAGCAAATGAAAGTTTAGAAACCTCTGGATCCGTTTTAGATGAATCATATATTACATTATGATAATCCCATCGAAATAAATTTCTAGAGTAGATATGAGATGAATAATTATAATTTGCAATATAAAAAATAAAAACTGCTAAACAGCTTCCTCCAATTAAATCAATAAAATAGTGATGTGTTAAATACATTGTACACCACCATAACCAAAGCACATATATTACGAAATAAGGTGTAGTTTTAGGAAAAATGCAGCTTAGAAACAATGCCTCAAGAGTTGCATGACCTGAATGAAGTGATGGAAAAGCACCAAATACCAATGGAGAAGCAGGAAAAATAGATGTATAAACTTTTGTGCCGAAAAAACTATCAATCCTAGCAAGACCACCAGCAGACCCCCCCATACTATAATTTGCAAGCTGACTTCCATATAGACTTTCATACCCTAGATTTTTTTAGGATATATAAAATATAATAACTGAAACATACATGGAGGAGAGCATGGAAATACAAGTTGAATAATTACTCCAATTAAATTTAGATATCCAAAACATTTCGCGAAAACTGGAAGTGTTCCAGGAGGAGAAGAAAGATATATAACAATCGCAGTAATAAATGGTGCACCAAAGTGAATAATGCCATACGGAATCCATGCTAAAATATCCAAAAAAAAGTGAGTATGATTTGAAAGCAAAGAGCTTAGTCTGACACCATATAAAATATTTTCTAAAGTAGGCAAAATCGAAATCCATATATGGGGTCTCATAGAAGAAGGAATGAACCTATAAATAATTAAAAAAATATATAAAAATATCCAGCTTACCTGCATGCATAAAAAAGAATTAACCATGAAACAATAGGTAGAAAAGGACGAAAAAACATCCGTGTGATTGGAAAGATAAGTAATAATACATAAAGCAAAACGATAAATATTTTGATAAATCCGATACAAGGAAGAATACTTAAGCAAAAAATACAAATAACAGCTGAAAAAAAATACTCGATATAAGAAATTAATGAATAAGACCTACAAAATGAAAATATTCTTTTTCTCGAAATAATTTCATAAAAACTAATTTCCTTGATTTTAGTTTTTAGTCGTGTTTGCATATCCTTGAAAATACATGAAGAATTCTCTGTCTTCTGGAACACAGAGAATGTCAACCATATAGGATAGGCAAGAATACGCTTCATTCTTTGACATTAAACCTTGATAAAAAAAAAAACGCCGCTTAAGGACGTTCTAGATCTATTAAAAACAGATACTTATAAATAATATAACGAAAAAATAAAATATCCTAGTTAGAAATGACCTCCAAAGTACTCTCTCTAAAAATATATCTTTTTAATCACTATTTTATATGTTTCTTAATTTTTTTGATTTTTGTCTTAATCCGAAGCTCTGAAATTCTAGCATAATACCATGGCAACCAGGTCGAAACCACTTCTCTATGAGAATTGAGATTTAAATGAAAAGAGATATTTTTATATAGAATTAACCAAATATGAATGAAAAAGATGTAAATAAAATCCTTTCTAAGAAAATTTATTTAAAAATATTTGTAAAAAAAATTTAGCCGTTTCTATGGCAACCTTTGTATCAAAATAAACAAACCAACATCGAGATCTTTCAAGTCAAAAATACGAGACCGGTTCTCGTCTGGCATCCTTTTTTCTTTATAATTACGCACCATTAACCCCTTAATTCTTAAGGGGGTCTATAATAAGGCATAATATTGCGTTTATAGAACTTATTTATTTATTTATTTGCTTTTTTATAAATTTCTGGTTGCAGGTCAACTTTTAAAATTTTTCTATGGCCTTAATACAAAAGAATTATATGAAAGATCATCTTGACGGGGGTTTTGTAGAGAAGCAGATTCTCCCAGAGCATTACTTTTCAAAATGTGAGACTCCAAATTCAACGTTTTTTTTGGACTACAATGACTATTCGGAAGCATATAAATCTCAAAGATATAAATATGCGGAAAAGATAGATAAAGAAAAGTGCCTTCAAGGTGATGCGAGTGAGCTCCTGCTTAATAAGTGCAATATGACTATGGAGAATTCGCTGTCGCCACCTCTGGTTCCAGCAGAGACGTGTTTATCCAAAAACTGCCATATTTTTCCTCCAGTAGTTCGTTTTGAAGCATTAGATCCATCACTTATGATTCAGAATTTTATTGATCCTCAATTGTTTTCGGAAAGGGATATCCAAGAAGTTTCTAGTATTCCTAATGAAATACAACTACTTTCTCCTCCATATTCATCTATACAATATGATAAGAATTTTTCAACTACATTAGATCAAAATTGTTATAGAGAACAACATCAAGAGGGATTAGACATTTTGGATAATTATTCCTCACACTTGCAAGATAACTTAAAGGACTCTATTCATCATTTGTCTTCTCAAATATTTTCACCACCCATGTCACCGCAAAATAATTCGATTATAGATCCTAAAGATACTTCTTACGGAATAACATATTTTGATAAGCCATCCTTTAATCAATTTATGGCACCTATACCATTAGATAACAAAAATCAACATACATTACCTTCATCAAATGAAATAGCCAAGAAATCTATGACATTTGGACGCTTTTCATCCAGGAGGACTATGGTTTCCCTTGAGGCAATCTCTTCTTATATTCAGGGTCCAGAAAAGTCGGATGGTAAATTCGTATGTCTCTATAATGGTTGTTTAAAAAGATTTGGGAGAAAATATAATATTCAATCTCATATTCAGACACATCTATCAGATAGACCTTATTGTTGTCCAATTTGCCGTGTAAGATTTGTTAGACATCATGATTTAAAACGACATATAAAAATTCATGGCGATCAAAAACCTTATGTTTGCCCTTGTGGAAAGAGTTTTGTTAGAACGGATGCACTTAAGCGACATAGAATAAGAGGTATTTGCAAAGGATCTACACGTCAAGACAAGACAGTATAAAAAAATCATACTTTGATTAGAGAATTTTCTTTTCTAAAAAACTATTTGGTACCATTTCCTTCAATGTCTAAAGACAAACAATAAGGAACTATTAAAGGCGTTCGTATAATTCAATTGTAATATATAGTAGGTAACAAATACATAATGTCATATAATAAGCTAGGAACAAATGTAACATTTGAATTTGCCATAGTTAAAATTTTAAATTTTATTCTTTTATAACCAAAGTTTTATTTCTTTGATTTTTAATTCATTTATTATTTTATAATTATATATATTAAAAAAGCACTATCTTAGTTTAGTTGTTCTCAATATTAAAGACATAAGTGATTCGTTTTTCATTTGTTTAGCTTTGTTCCATAATAACTTTAAATGATTTGCTTTCCATGAAAACATATTTTGATATGAAATTAAAAAATATTGAGCTTCTTCTAATAAATTATTTTTAGCTAAATTATTAATCATCAATCTACAAAGATTAAAATCTAATTCTGTTAAATGTAATCTATTAAATTTTAAATTCATTTCTTCAGGATCCTTTTCCTGATTTTTCATTAAAAATATCCAATGGTTTCTTTCATTCCATACAGAATGTGCAAAATTTATATCATTAAACTTATAAGCTGCCTCAAGTCCCAATTGATAAGTATATAACCCTCTTTTAAATTTGTTTAAATATAAATCAGAATCTTTTTCTTGTTCCTTTGTAGCTATAGAATAATACATATTTTCATAAACATTTTTAAATACAGAATATGAACCATGATTAATCAGCACTGAAAGATATGAATTCATAAGTTGAACGTCCAAAAAAGGATATTTATTTTTCTGTATATATTTTATTAATGCAGTAGATTCATCTAAAACGTCTTTTGATGTTTGCAAATCAGTTTTTAAAAATACGGACTTTGAAATATCCTCAAAAAAAGTGTTTCTAGTATCATTTTCTATATTCGTATCTAATTTTAAAGACAAAATATCTTCTATTTTATTATCAGAATAATTATTTGCTGAATTCCGAATTCTCTTTTCAGGAATATAATTAGCATAAGCTCTAAACAGGCCTTGAAATGTATATATGTCTACCTTCTCTAAACTTTCAGTTCTATTTTCATCAATACAAATATAATTATAATGAAATTCTTATACTTTTGAAATATATGTTTTACCAGGACTCTTGCTTTCTTTAAATCGCCCATTTTTCCACAACCCTTTAACAATGCAATAAATGTTTTTTTGTCCATTGAAGTATTATTATCTAATAAGGTTTTTGCTATTCTCCATGTTTCATAAAAATAATCTTTTCGTGAAGCATAAGCAGAAATTAAAGCATTATATGTTTCTAAAGTTGGAGTAAGAGACCCCTCTGAATGAGATAACATTTCCCTAAATAATTCGCTGGCACGTTCTGCTTCGCCAGTTAATGCACATGTATGAATCATAAGTGAATATGTTTTAACATCTGGGAAAACATCCTTTGATCGGTACTTGAGTAAATCAAAAACTTTCCATGCTTCTTCAAATAATTGATTTTTAACACATAAAGAAATCAATGTAGTATAAATTACCTAATAGATTAAAAAAATATTAACAAAAATTTTATAAACTTTACTAGATTAGGACTAATTGGATATTTCTCCATATCTTTAAATAGCAACAACACATTATCAATATCACCAATCTTCGAATATGCTTTCATTAAATGCGCATATGAATATACTGAAGGCGCAAACCCGTCTAATTAAATATTAATATTTTTCTAAAAATATATAAATAATGACATTCTTTCATTTGTGAAAATATCTTAACAGCTCCTTTTACATCACCCACCTGGGCATAACCATCCATAATAAAATCATATGTTAATCTATCAGGATAAATAGACGCCTTCTATAAAAATCATCAGATTTTTATAAATTCTAAACAAATATACATACCTTCATCATATCAAAGATATCTTCCGCTAAAAAAGATCGCTCCTTAGAAGGTATAGAGTATATCATTCTATTCACTTGTAATGTAGTCAATCCCTCAAATCCCCCATTACATGAAATAACCCTTAATTTCTCTCTCCAATTCAAACTAGAAACGGTCTCTCCCGGTACAATCTTAATTCTTTCAACAAGGACAGGACTAAGAGTATTTTCTCCAATAGCTATAGGTAATTGGGGCTCCGGTTTGCAAATAAACTTATATAAAAGCTCATGTTCATTTTCCGTTGATTTTCTACAAAAACCCTAGGATAAATAAATATGCCATAAAAGACACAATCGCATCTATTACTTCATCTGATCTTCTCCGTTTCTCCTCATTCTCAAGTCTTGTACGCAATCTAGCAATACATTTCTCTAGCGTCTGAATACTCAATAAACCCGGTTTAAAAAACCGGGTTTTCAGATTCCTGGTAGAAAAGAAACATGCAATCCTATTTTCGCCTGATATTCTCCTTTCTAGCACTGCTTTCCTGACAAATTTACCTCCAAACATATGATCATTTTTCAACTGATCTCTCCCTATATTTAGCCCCAGAAACCGGGAAAAAAAGGATAATATACATCAAAAACCCGAAAATTCACTATTTCTATATGTTATCCAAGTTATTTATGCTTATCTGCTCTTATCTAGCCCTTTAAATATAATATGGGCTAATATGAGGTCCAAAAAAACCAGTCACCCGTTAACGAGCCTGACTTCAGCTTAAATATTAACTTCAAGAAACAGCGTCAAAGAGGCGTTGTAAGCAAGATCTTATATAAAAATGCAGATCTTCGGTAAGATATGAAGGTTTTATTAAAGAAAACTTATATTTGAAGTGAAAACACTTACAGGAAAAACTATTACGCTCGAGGTTGAGTCATCAGATACAATTGACAATGTTAAGAGCAAGATTCAAGATAAAGAAGGGATTCCACCGGATCAACAACGTTTAATATTTGCTGGAAAACAATTAGAAGATGGAAGAACTTTGTCAGATTATAATATTCAGAAAGAATCCACATTGCATTTGGTTCTTCGTCTTCGCGGAGGAGCAAAAAAACGAAAAAAGAAGACATATACAACACCTAAAAAGATAAAGCATAAGCGGAAAAAGTTTTATATTTTATATTTTGTTATTTTTATTTAATATTTTTTAAGGGTTAAATTGTCTATTTTAAATTTTTATAAAGTGGATGCAGATGGAAAAATCCAACGACTTCGTAGTGAATGTCCTCATCCAACATGCGGTGCGGGGGTTTTTATGGCACTTCATAAAGATAGAAGATATTGTGGGAAATGTGGATTAACAATGGTATTTGAAAAGAAGGAATGAATATACTACTATTTATAAATTTCATTTGACCTATTTGAAAACCATATAAAGTATAATATGTAGTTTAGCATATTTTGATTAATTTGAATTTATAAAAATTCTCTAATGTATTTATAAATTTTTTGAAATTTTATACAATAACCCAAAATAAAAACATATAACCTCGATAAAATGCAGAATTAGCAAAAGATTCATATGAATTTAAAGATATGAAATGAAAATGACTAGAACATATTGCTGAATATCATTGCGTTATAACGGTAAAATATGAAATATGGAAATATACTTAAAAATGATATTATAATCAAGTATTAAAAGTTTATTTAAAATAATATATATCAAAATATTTTTATTTTAAAGATATATTATCAAAATGCTTTTTTCTCAATATTTTTCTATATAGTTATTTTCTAGACTTGAGAGGTTTCTTTAAGACTACTTCTTCCAGCCCTAAACGAGTTAAATATAATAATAATTACTTATAAATGATACCTCAAAATTTCATCCACATTTAAAAGATTAGTAGAAATTACACAAGATGAATGCAACATATATCTAATTACTCTATAATTATCATAAACACCTTCTGATACTGGATCAAAAGGTTCTCCTGTTTTTAAATCTATACCTACAATATGTCCTTGATAACACTCATCTTTTAATGCAACAATTGTATCTTGCGTATCGAATCCACTATTAGCAGAAAGAGTTTTAGGAATAACCAATAAGGCCTCAGAAAATGCTTGGACTCCTAATTTTACCTTTCCTTTAACTTGATGAATAAAGTTTTTTTGAAGATGAGCAGAACATGCTACTTGAAAAGCACCTGCACCTGGGACTAAACAACGATCTTCAATTGCATTCTTTACACTCCTAAGACCATCACGAATTGCATCTTGAATCTGAGTAATAGTATGTGCATTTGGCCCTAAAAAGTTATAAACCTAAAAAAATCATAATTCAAATACCTCTTATAAGAATCGTAACACTCTTTGGATCTTTAACCTCTTCTACAAATGTATACTTCTCTTCACCCAATGTTTGTTCATATACTAATCCTGCCCATCCTAGAATATCCGGGGTAAGACTATCTACAGAATTCTGAGCAACACCCCCACATATAAGCTGCAATCTTTCCATATTACGTCTTTTTGCACGTCTTAAAGCAAAAATACCATTTTTAACTAAGACATCTAAAGATAAAGGATCAATTCCTTTTTGATTGATCACAACAAATCCTTTATTCGGATCATTCCCGCATACTTGTTTCTTCAATTCCACAATTTTTTTCAATTTATTATCAACAAATTTTCTTTCGCTTTCAACAAGTCTTTCTCGCTGCTCAGCACTACTGTAAAAAAAACCCGAATTAATCTCTGTTTTTTCATATTCTAATGAGACATTCAAAATAAGAACAAATGCATTTTCAACTCTTTTAATCATATCCGGATGACGTGTACCATGATCCAAAAGAAGTCCCCTAATAAGTTGCGTATCCGTAGACGTACGATGCTGCATCTTCATAATCTCTACCATATGCAAATCAATCGACTCATTTTCTCTTTGAATACATAAAACTGCATCCACAATATACGGATATAAACTTTCTACTAACGAAGGATGCAACTTCGTCGATAACGACGATCGTGCTACTAAAAGTAATGTCGAACGATCCATTTCCTTCTCAATTTTAAATTCATCCAAAAACTACCTCCCCATTAATTTCACCCTTATTTTCACTTAAAACCTTCACCTTAACCGCTTCTTTCAATGACAAATCAAATCCCTCACTTATCACCCTAGGATGAAGTCCTTCCTGAATATATATATCCGCTTGTTTAAGCAATTCTCCTACCAAAAGACAAATAGATGTTGTTCCATCACCTGTAATCTCATCCTGCGCAACTGCTGCTCGCGCAATCATACTAGCCGTAGGATTTTGAATTTGCTAACCTATTAGTTAACTCTTAACTCGTCTAATCCCTTCTATCCTATTACCATCTCTGTTAAAAGAACTTTTCCATCCTTTGTAAGCTTAATATTTCCTGCTCCATCAACTAACCTAAAACTATTAAGAACTTATTCTCTTATAACCCTTTCTATTAATAAATACACACATTTTAATAGTCCCTTTAGGCCCAAGATTACTTTTAAGCACATTCTGCAGACCTTGTGCTGCTGCCATATTAACCTTTTATCTATTACTTATTTAAAAAAAGATATAAAAATTACCTGCAAAGCCTGTTCCCGGCGTAAAGACTCTGCCTTAGGATTTAAGAAAGTAATCATTCCTTAATAGAATTCTTAAGAATTTATTTTTTAATGTTAAAAAGTTTTTTTAGTTCGTCAAAAAAAAAGAGAATTTTTAATAGATAATTAAGATTTTGTTAAGAAAAGGTTAAGAAAACGGGTTAATATGGTTGACCAAATTCTTGCCGAATTTGCAACGGGATATGCGCTTTTTGAGGTTATTCAAGCAGAGGCAATTGGAGCAAAACTGAAGGAAGTTCAAGAGGCATCGCAAGATCTTTCAAAGTTTGGAAAATTTGTTAAACTGAGGAGTTTTTTGCCTTACAGAGATGCAGCTAATGCACTTGAGAATATTAAGGATATATCAGATGGTATTTTGAGTGAAAGGAGGGATTAGAAGAGGTTAATATTCCAGGATTGATGAATGAAAACTTGAGGACGTTTCTTGAGATGAATCTTCCTAAATTTGGGAAGAAAGGACGTTTAGTACTTGGAGTATCAGATAAGAATCTTGCAGGAGAGATTCGAGGGAAATTTAAAGGGATTGAATGTGATACATCGGAGATTACTCAAGATTTATTACGAGGAATTCGTTTTCATAGTGGAAAATTGTTAAAACAACTACAACCGGGAGATCTTGAGAAAGCACAACTTGGACTTGGTCATTCGTAATAAATTTATCAAGTATGAGAAGAAAAAATGATGAATTATAGGTATTCTCGGGCAAAAGTGAAATTTAATGTGAATAAGGCAGATAATCATATAATCAATGCAATTGCAGTGATGGATCAGCTTGATAAAGGTATTAATACATTTTCTATGCGTGTAAGGTAGTTTATAAGTTTTTATATATAAGTATTTAATATTTTTTGTTAAATATGTAGGGAATGGTATGGATGGCATATGCCGGAACTTGTGAAATTTGTAAATGATAATTATCAATATGCAAAGTTAGCAATTTATATTGGAAATAAAAGATCGCTTTCTCAGGATAATTTTCAAGATATAGTGGCAATTATGAATAATGATTTAGTTGCAGCTCAAAATATTATTAATACAGCACGTATTAGTATGGGACAAGATATATCTACTGTTGATATGGAAAATATAGTGATATTTGCACGAAAAGTAGTAAATCTTGTGGATTATAGGAAAAAATTATATAAATATCTTGTTAATAAAATGAATACGGTGGCACCCAACCTTACAAAACTCATAGGAGAGGTAATTGGAGCAAGATTAATTTCACATGCAGGAAGTCTTACAAATTTGTCTAAATATCCAGCATCAACGGTTCAAATTTTGGGAGCCGAAAAAGCGTTATTTCGGTATAATAATATTTTTTCCATTTTATTTACTTACGCCTATATAGAGCTTTAAAGACTAAAGGAAATACACCGAAATATGGAATAATATATCATTCTTCATTTATTGGACGTGCTGAACAAAGAAACAAAGGACGTATATCACGTTTTTTGGCAAATAAATGTGCAATTGCTAGTAGAATAGATAATTTCACAGGTATAAATTATTACCAAGTTGAACATTTTAGTTATATTCTTAGAAATACCTACTACAAGATTTGGGGAAGCTTTAAAAAAACAAGTAGAAGAGCGTTTATCATTCTATGAATCAGGAACTGCTCTTACGAGAAATAGTATAGCTATGAAACAGGCAATAGATTTGGTTTTATCTGAAAATATTTCACAAAATATATCTGAAAAAGATAAAAAAAATCAAGAAAAGAGTAAAGATAAAAAGAAAGAAGATAAAGAAAAGAGTAAAGATAAAAAGAAGGAAGAAAAGAAGGAAGAAAAGAAGGAAGAAAAGAAGGAAGAAAAGAGGGAAGAAAAGAAAAAGAAAGAGAAAGAGAAAGAGAAAGAAGAAAAAAAAGAGAAAAAGAAAGATAAAGATAAAGAAGAAAAAAAAGAAAAAAAGAAAGAGGAAAAGAAAGAGAAGAAAGAAAAGAAGAAAGATGAAAAGAAAGATGAAAAGAAAGAGGAAAAGAAAAAAGAAAAAGAGAGTAAAGGAAAAAGGTCAAGAGATGACGAGGGAGAAATAAAATCGTCAAAAAAAAAGAAAAAAGAAGATAAAAATAAATAAATATTCCATTTTTAAACAAAAGTGATAATTTCATGAATATAATTATTAAAGATACATTGATAATACATTCGTTCTTTTTTTGATATATATATTATAATTACATAATGCAGCTTTCAAACCAAAATTCCCATTTCCAATAAGCTGATCAAGTATATTTGCTACTTGTTCAGCAATTTCAGTACTTATTCGTAAATGAGCAGAAGGCCCATTTGAAGATGCAACAATAGCAATTGCATCTAAATTTCTCTGTTCACACTTTTTAATATTAATTTGAGCTATAAAAAAAATATTATATATTTTACCAATGATAATATAGATGCTTCCATACCAGAAAGCAAAGCAGGTGGTCTTAAAAGCGGACAGAGTTTATCATCTATTTGAAACGATGAAGATGTCGTACGAAGAAAACTAACAGGAGAAAAAACAGACCATTGAAAAATAGTTGCAAGCAAAAATATACGTTTAAATTCTAAATGATCAAAAATATAAGAAGAAAGATGATAACACATTTCAGGTGGTATATTATTCGGAAAAATAATAGAATATAAAGAAATATTAGAATTACTCAGAAGAACTATTGATTTATTTCCCTATATTTTTGATGTATCAATACCTTAATTAATAAAATTACTAACTGTAAACTTAAATAAAACTTGGCTGGTATTTTCTCCTGGAAACATTTTTAAAATATCCAAAAACAATTCACTTGCTATTATAACATTCTCCACTCCATTTGGAAATGAATTAACAGATTCTATTTTACAACTTGATATATTTTTCTTAACTTTGTCTTCTTTAGAAGATTCATTTTCACTCGAATATTCATCAGAGCTTGTTTCTGAGTTATTCAAAGAATATCTTTTAGGAGGTTCTTCATAAAGATTCTATATTAAATTATTTAAAGTTAAATATTATAAATCTTATCAAATTACCATTTTTTTAATAAAGCTTTGAATATAGGGTTTAATAAATAAATATTAAAAAACATGTTTATAGGAACAATTCAGATAAATATGTATTATAAAATTCATTAAATATATAAATCAACATAATGTATTTTAAATAAAGAAACTTTATGAATAATAAAAGGATTTTTTAATAAAATTGTTTTATATTAGTAGAATGAATTTAATATAATAATAGAATTTGCTTTTTTATCAAAGAATTAGATATTAAAAAAATAAGAAAAGTTTAATAAACTATAAAAAACAAACAATTTTTATCATATTTTGAAAAAACTAAGGAAAATATAGCAATTGATATGATAAATAGTTAAAAATCAAGTAAATATCAATAAATTATAGAAAAATCATAATTAATAGCAAATAAATTCAACAATGACATAAATTAATCTTAATTTTCATATTAAAAAATCAACTATGTTATCTTTCATTCTTAAATCTTATTTTATCTAGTCGATAAAATAAATGGAAATTATTCTGAAAAAGAATCTCAGTATAAAGCTAGTAATATAATCAAATAATCAGCACATGCCTTGCTTGATATTCTTTAGATCAATCATTACTTTGTTACTTAAAACAATATTTCTAGTCTTATATAGAAAAAATAAAAACTTTTTAAATATAAAAATAACTAATAATCTAATGATTTTAAAATATTTTATTTTCCTTGTTATTACAAAATAAATTCAATATAAAAACATTTTTTATAGAAAGATTGTCAACTTGATACGAATTATCTCATCTCTTAAAAAAAAGAAATTATAATAAAAATAATGAAAAATTGACATCATTAAACATTCCAAATAAATTATCAAATACATTTGCATCAAAAATAAAGCATTCTTTTTTTTAAATAAATTATATTTATATTCCAGAAAAAATTATAATAAAACCTCTCCAAATATCATATTTGATATTTAGTCAAAAATAAAAAATCAAGAAATATTTCTACAAAAAATATAACATAAAATTATCTTTTATCTATTTTATACTTATTATCTATATATAACGAATTAAGAATCCAGGCACTAAACGTATATATAAATAGAAAATAATATTCAAAAAACTCCAGAAAAAAAACAACTTATAATCCCTTTTATATTATATACATTTGATTCTAAAGAGTTTTTGATTTTTTTATGATACAATTATTCTAAAAATTATATAAAAATTAACATATTGAACCTTGAAATAACAAAAATATCAAAAAAATACAAATATTATGTATCAAGTTCTATTAATTATGAAATCCGGGACTAAAGACATTTGGATATAGATTCTTTGTTAATTTTATTGCATTTCCTTTTTTCTTAGGGAAAAAACATATTTTTAATTTGATGAGGCCTACATGGAAAGCTATAAACTCTAATTTATCAGATGCACTCCCTATTTCATGGAGAAATATGGTTAAGGAATGGCTCAGAGAAGATATACCGAGCATGGATTATGGAGGCTTTGTTGTAGGAGAAAAACAAGAGTCGGCTATTCTTTTTGGAAAAAGCCGGGTAAACCGCATAGAAATATATCTAGGACTCAAGTTAATGTACTTTTTAAGGGTATTTTGGCAGGGGTTCCTTTTTTTAATGAAGTTTTTGAGCAATTGGAATGCAGGTAAACTTTTTTCTTTGGATCGGGAAATATTGAGTATTAAAAAGAGTTGAATGGTTTTTGGAGGAAGGAGAAGATATTCACCCGATTACAAAAGTCGCTGTTGTCTATGGTACAGCGAAAAACCTGTTGCTTGGGGAACGAGTTGCTCTAAATATCCTTTCACGTTGCTCTGGAATTGCAACTAAGTAATATATATGACAATGATAAAAGACAATAACAAATATACAACATAGATCTAAAAGAATGGGTGAAAAATTGAAACAACTGGGGTATCATGGTATTCTTGCAGGTACACGAAAAACAACACCGGGATTTCGACTTGTCGAAAAATATGGAATGATGATAGGAGGAGCAGATCCACATAGATTTGACTTAAGCAGCATGATTATGCTTAAAGATAACCATATTTGGTCTAAGGGTAATAATGATTAATATTATAAGCTTATTCTTATCCTATTTAAGGATCTATTACAAAAGCGGTCGAAGCAGCTCGTTTGATTGGAGGATTTTCATTGAAAATTGAAGTAGAAGTGCATTCTGAAGAAGAAGCAGATGAAGCCATTTTATCAGGAGCAGATATTATTATGCTAGATAATTTTCATAATAACGATATGAAAATAGTTGCTCAAAATCTAAAAAAAAAATGGAAAAATAAAGCAAATTTTCTTCTTGAATGTAGTGGAGGAATAACAGAAGAAAATATACATGAATTTATCTGTAATGGTAGAAGTGAACAATTCAAAGGATTCATAAACTAATTCTCATTATAGACCTTGATATATTAAGTACTAGTTCTATTCATCAAAGTACTAAACATGTTGAGTTTTCTTTAAAAATTGACAAGAAATAACATATCTATTTATTACTATTATTTATTCACTAAAATCATATCAATAAATTTACTCAAAATCCAAATCAATAATTAATAATTTAATTCATAGTCTTAATATCAAATTGTATATACGACTCATCTTACATAAAAAATATTTCTTCTTGTTCTGAATTTTATCAGGTTTCTATGAATTAATACTTTTATATATACTTACATATATTTATACAGATAATTATATAGAATTATTTACTAAGCTATTCACATTAAACTAAACACACTAAAACGTATAATATTTTTGTCAATATTCGGCTGCTATAATTCTATCATACGATTCCTAACAGCAATTCTCAAAACTACTAAATATTTTTACAAAAATGTACAATCTTAACCTGGACCTATTTTCAGATCAAAAAAACAGATCCACGATATTAAAATCATTAATTCATATGCCCTTCCTTTCCCGCTTCTAATATTCATTAATTAAGAATATAAAAGTAGAATATTCAAAGGGCTATTATTCATCATTTCTTCTCATAGGCATTTACACAATATCATTTTCTTAAAAATTGGAAAGGTCTAAATAAAGATTATTATATTATTATATTAATATTAAAATAGAAATATTAAAATAGAAATATTTATAATTTTTTTTCTAAGAACTTCAAGATTTTTTCATCGGCGGCTTCGATAATTTTTATTTTCAAATATCATTATGACCAGAAAGAAATTCGGAAAACCTGTCCGAGGAGGTGCTTCTAAACATTTTATTAGTATTTTTTAATAACATATATGTATTCGTTTAGGGGGAAAATGTTTTTCTACAGAATTAATGTTAAATCAAGATGGGACATTACAAACAGATACAACTCCTAAAACATGGAGAGTAAATCCCATCAGCATGAAAACAATGCCAAGGCATAATAACACCATTCCAGGAAATCGAGGAAACATCAAGCGATTCAGAAGATTCCGGAAAAAATACTAGCGATTCTGATATATCTAATTCAGAGAATCAATCATCCTTTTTTAAGCGAGAAAAAAAGGAATCAAAAAGTTCATCTCAACCTATTATTGAAGTTCAAAATCCAAACCGTGTAAAAAAACAGAATTTCAAGCCTTCTGATCTTTCAAAACAAGAATTCCAAGAATTAAGTCGAAAAGATCGCGATGCTCTTGAAAAAAGAATAGCAAAAGAACGATATGAAAAACTTCATTCGGAGGGGAAAACTGAAAAAGCTAAGGCGGATCTTGCAAGACTTGCGATTGTACGGAAAGAACGAGAGGAAAAAGCACGACAAAGGAAAGCTGAACAAGAAGCAAAAGAAACTGCAGCACAAGCACGCACAGAAAAATTTCTAAAGCTTAACTAATTTTTTATTTTCAGACTTTTATAAAAACAGTTATATTTGCAATCTAAGCAATATATTAATACAACATATGGCAATATCAAAAATATTATACATATTTATTAATCTTGTCATGCTTATACGGACATTTACGCATGTTTTGGAAGTACTTTATATACCTATTTTATCTTTATATCATTATTTATTTTTAATAATTTCTTTATATTCTTTATAAAGAAAAACAATAATTTGTGTAATCTCAAAAATAAAATACACATTTCTAATATATTTAAAACCTTGTTTATCTTATCTTTAGGTTTATATATATTTTTCCCCTTTACCTATCTTTTTATCGCTATACGTCAGTCCTTAAAACTAAGTTGATATCAAAGGAAAAAGACATATTTTTAACAAAAAAAAAGAAATATATTATTGATTATTTTGATTTCCAGTGTTTTTAAAGATTATGACAAATAAACATTCTAATCAAAATTCAGTGGTTCAAAAAAGTAGGTAAAAAACAGTGGAAATATCTATTAGAATAGCTCAAGGACCTTAAAATGGATTAGGGTCGATAATAAACCACTGATATTAATAGATTTTATCCTTTTTATAGAAGTTTAAAGGCTAATTTATACATAATAGCCCCATCAAACGACAATTTACGACAAAAGAAAAAAAATGAGTCATTATCGAGCCCAGAAGAGGTTATTTCATCATCAGGGAATATGGAGAGGACGTTAGAAGACCTGTACCATGTTTTTTCTAGGTATTATTTGTTTATTATAGGTAATTGTGTAATTAAAAATTTTATAGTATTCCAGGTGGATCTCTTGTTTTAAAACAATCATTGGATGAGGATAAGAAGAGTTCTAGAAATACATCTACAATATCCTCGAAACTTCAGAAGAAAACGTATGATTCATTAGCAGCACTTGAGGTATTTTTTATATAATTCATAATGGTATTGATTTGTTTTAGAACGATCTTTATACAGCTGTTACGTCATTATTGAACAATATTCGCCCTACGGATGCAGATTATGCATCAGTATCGTCTTTCTATACATTTTCTCAGAAACTTTTAACACGTGAACAAAAACGCAATATAACACAGGCATTTGGTAGTGATGCCAAGAAATACACACAGGATTCATGTATGTATTATTTTTTTGATGTGTTATCGCAAATTTACTATTATATTTAGTTCCATTTAGACCGCCTAGCAATGAATGTCTTTTTGTTATCAGTCCAAATGGTCCATTATTTTCTTCATTAGCAGCTAAATCTGTTTTTGATACTAGACCCATTAATACAGGTTAATTTTTTTATTATTCACATGAATTTATCATAATATATGATTAGAAGGACGTGCATATATTACACAAGTTATTCCGAATAATTCAGCATCAACTAAATCTATTCAAACATTTGCTAACATATGTCCTGCTTCAGCTCAATCAGATTCATCTGTTTTAAAAAAACGGAAACTCAAACATCCTACTTTAAAACTTATACCTTCTGTAAAATGGTTATATTATAATAGTTATAGCTCATATGCACCAACAAAGGATATGGAAACTGCTATTTTTTCTGAAAAACATCTTAATGCAGTATGGTGGAAGCGTAAAAATGAAAAACTTTCCATGAAAGAAGAAAAAGATATAGAAAAAGATGATACTAAACAATCTGATGCGGATCAACCAAGTTCTTTAGAACTAGACGAAAAGCTTATTCTTTCTTATGAGCCTATAGATGTCTCAGATGAATTAAAAACTTCTGAATTATATAAAGAACATAATGACATCAATATAAATGAAATTGGAAAATTAATTCAAACACTTTCTGAAATGCAATCTTCAAGAATCGCGCATTCTCAAACAGAAGCACCAGGAGAATTAGAAGAACAATTAGGTAATTATATGGTATCTATACTTTTCTACCTTATATTCATATTATTAGCCTTCCATATTCAGCAACTTCTTCTTAAACAAATTATCTCATTTAATGTTCAACCTAAGGAACTTCTTCCAAAGCCATTGTCGTTATCTATGTCTTTTCTTGTCCTTGGCCCATCCTATGCTGGAACATTACCAAATGTACCACACATGTCTTCATCTGAAGAACTTCGAAATCAACATGGATCTTATTCGGAGCTTCAAAACTATGCTAGAAACGAGAGTTTATATCACCAAAATTCGCAAAAAATACCGAATATTCCTATAACTTTACCATCACTTATACGCAATGATTCATATCGGTCATTTCTAAATTCTTCACTTTCTGCATATAGAAAAATAGGGAATCGCATTAAAAAATAGCAATCTTTCATCTTAAATCATAAACATTTTCAAAATTATATCTTCTATATAACATATTTCACATATTTTTTATACATCTACATTTAATATCAGCATTAATTTCATATTTTCTACATCAAAAATATTTTTCTATTTTTTCTAGGAAATGTCTACAGAATACTTAAAGAAATAAACTAAAACATCTGTTCAAAGGCTTTTTTATATAAAAATAAGCCTACTTGTGATGGTTACTCTTGGCAACGAGTCACGTGACGCGGACCTAATTTTGAATCTATCAAAACAGAAACAAAGTATAAAATTTTATTAAAAAATTATAACAAATTTTCTCTCATATATATTCAAAAAATGCACCCGCTTTTAAGTATTCAAACACCTAGAACAGATGTGGGTACTGTCAATTCAATTGATGCAGATGAACTTTCTTTTGGTTCTCGTGAACCATCTTTTATTTCACCAACTAAGAAAGAGAATTGGAAATCTTTTAAAGCATTATCTACGCCAGCACCGGAAAGGATACTTTCAGAAAGAAAAAAGAATCTTCTCAATATTCAACACGAGTTTACACCTTTGTTACAAAGTGCAGCGAAAAAAGAACCATTTTCTCATCTTGATTTGAAAAAAAAGCAAAAATTTGAAGAAAACATTGAAAACGAAAAATCCGTTAATACCTCTAAGGAAAATAATCATGAGGAATCTCCATCAAGTATTGTTTCAATAAAATCTATCATTGAGTTGCCTGAACAAGATCTACTTAAAGAGAAAAATGGCACAACACTTACACTTAGAGAGCAGGAAAGGGTAGATTTTTCAATAATTTATGATTTCAAAGAAAAAACTCATAATATTGTAGATTATTGATACAATGAGAAAAGAAAATTGGGGATTAAAGCTTAAAATTCATTTTCTAAACGATCGCTTAGATAAATTAGCTCCAGATCAAGTAGAAAAAGCATTAAAAGAAGTATGTATTGTTTTTATAGTTATTTTATTTTAAATCTTTAAGAACATTGAAAATAAGATACAACAGGCAAAACTTATTCAAGAAATTAAAAAATATAAAAAATCGTTGTTAGAATCTGAAAAAAAGATACAAGAGATATCTGTAAATGGGTCTAAAAATAAAAATATGGAATCCAATGAAATAATTTCAGATCAAAAAAAAGTACTTGATAAAATTGCATTAGAAAATAATCAATATGCAAATGAACTTTTCAAAGCTCAAGAAAAAATAAAAACATTGTCTAAAGAAATCGAAGAATTGAAAAATGGCAAAGACAATACAGCTATTTATGAAAAACTTAATTATCTAGAAGAACAATTACAGCATGCTTTAGAAAAAAACGAAGACATGATGGCAGAACTTGAAGAAAAACAAAATAAAATAGATGAGAAAGAAGACGAAATTGTATAATTCAAATTAAGCCAGATATAATTGCTAATTACAATTCTAGGAGCTTCAGGAAGAAGAACGAAGTAAACTAAAACAAATAATTGAAGAATTAGAACAGAAATATATTTCAGGAGAGAGTAATCAAGAAGTTAATGACTACGCTAGTCATATAAGTTCTTTAGAAAATGTATTTATCATTATTTATCCCGCTTTTAATAATCATTCCAGGACCTAAATATTGCTAAGAAAAAATTAGACGAGAAAGAAAAAACTATTCAAAAACTTATTTTAGAAAAAGATCATAATTCAAACGAGCTTAATAATGTATACACTTTTATATCAACAATCCTTAAAATTTAACTTTAAATAGGAACTTAAAAAGACACGTTCTGAATTAGACAAAGTATCTAATGAATATCTTGAATTTAAGAATATACAGGAAGAGAAGATTTATAATCTAGAAAATTCTTATAATAATCTTAACAATGAATTAAAAATTAAAAAAGAGGAGACTGTATCTTTGCGTAAACAATTAGAAACAAACGAATCTAATATCATAGAAACAAATAAAAACATACAGGTTTGATCAAAATATTTCAAAGCATATTTCCTAATTGCCTAAAAATATAGGATATTCTAAATGAAAAATATAAGCTTGAAGAGGATTTAAAAGAAGCTCATGATAATATTAAGGAATTACATATAAACTTGGAAGAATATGATAATAGACAAGAACAACTGGAACATTATCTTAAAGAGAAGGAGGATGAACTTAGCGAGGCTATGTTTAACTTAAGATCACTTCAACAAGAACTTGACAACTCTAATCTAGAATATGAAAAAGAAAAAAAAGATCTTTATAGTAAAATAGAAAAATTAAAACAAGATTGGGATGAAGAACGAATACAATTAACTGATGTAAAATAAAATAATCAATATTATTTCTAATTTGTTTAGGAAACAGAATTAATGCGAAATTCTTTAAAACAATATCAAGAACGTAGTGAACGTGCCCTATCTAATCTTCAAGAAGAAGTATTTTTATTTTCGAATTTTCTTTTGTTATTAATTTTTCTAGAAAAACATTCTTCAAAATAATCTTAAAGAAATTATGCAACAAAATTCTGACTTACAAGAAAATATTAACAAGTTAATTGTAACAGAAAATACTGTTTCAAAAAACAATGAAAAAGCATGTTTCTTTCTAGTTTAAATCTTAAGACTAATTAACATAGTTTCAAGATACATTACAATATGAAGAAGAGCGTCACCGTAAACGTGAAATTCAATTGGAAAGCCAAATTAATGATCAGAATGTTCGTTATGAAAATCAAAAAAAAGAACTTGATAAGGCTTTGGATGATATACAAAATTTAAAAAAAAGCCTTAAACAAGTTCAAGAATCGGAAGAATTGCTTAGAAATAGTATGAAATTACTTACAATAGAATATAATGAACTTCAACAACAATATGCGGAGAAACAAGAAATTATTCAAAACGAGGAGAACAAAACTGTCCAATTTCATGAAGAATATGAAAAACTTAAAACAGACTATGTATCTATTAAGGCTACTCTTAAAAATTTGTACGATGAAAAAAACGATTTACTTCTTTTAATAGAAAAGAGCAAATCCGATGATATAGAAAAGACTAACACTTTATCTTTAAATAAAACTATTGAAGTTTTAGAGCACAAAATAGAATCTATTAAATTAGAGCGAAATAAACTTTTGAAATCTATCGACCTTTTAAATGAAAACATATCTAGTTATAAAAATACAGTTTCTAGCTTAGAAAAAGAGCGGGATTTTCTCAAGGAAAAACTTAATACTTTTGACATTGATGGAAAAACATTTCCACAATCAGATGAGAAATATCTTGAACTTCAGAAAAATATTAATATACTGGAAACTCAAATTAAACTTTTGGAAACAGAAAAAAAAAATTTACTAGAAACTAATACAGACCTTGAAAATAATTTTAATGATCTACTTAAAAAAATAAATAATGAGGAGACAGATTTAATTCACGAATATAAAATTAAAAGAATGGAGCTTGAGGAAATTGTTCATATGAAAGAACAAGAACAAGAAAGTTTAGCAAAACAGATTGAGCAACTCGAAATAGCTCTTTTAAATAAAGAAAAGATTCACAAAACTAAAATAAAACAACTTAATGATGAAATATATCTTTTACAAGATCAGCTTAAAGACTTTAAATTACAACAAAAAGAATCAATGGAGTTAGGAAATTCAGATGAACAAATTATTTCTGATCTGCCCAAAAATATATTCAAATTAAAAAATGGGTTATATGATACGGAATTAAAAACAGCTGGTCAGCATAAAAATTACGAAATAAATAATTATGAAATAGAATTAGCGGAATTAAAACTTAAATATAAAAATGCGAATGAAATTATTTCAAGCATGGAACATGAAGCTTTAGTCCGCGAAGAAGAATTTCAAAATAGAATTAATGAAATAATGCTAAGAGAAAAGTCAAAATTAACAAGACTGCAAAATGAAAAAGCACAATTAGAATCAAACCTTCTTCGTATGAACGAAGAGAAAGCTACTCTTGAAGATGAAAAGGGACAACTTCAGAGACAATTATCTCTCTTAGAAACTAATGCTATCTTTGCTTCTGAAAACTATATAAATAAGAATGAAAATGCTAGAATTATTCAAGAAAAAGAAGAATTAAAAGAATGTTTAATGCTTACAAAGGCAGAATTAAATGAGATTAAAGGAAATATGAGGACTCGCGAAACACAGTTAAAAGAACAATTATATAAAATTGGTAAAGATAAGCATTTTTTAATTAATAAGATGGAATTAGCACAGAAAAAAATTCAAACTATTACTCAAGAAAGAAATGAAATATCTAAAAAATTACATTCTTTGGAAAAACAACACCATAAAGATGGATATTTATATAATAACCAAAATTATTTAAAAAAAAATACACATTTTAATGAACTGTTAGTTTAAATTTATATAATTTTTTTTACTAAATTATTTTAGACAATCAAAAGAATTATTTACACTTAAATTAAAACACAAAGCGGAACTAAAAGGTCTTTCAAAACAAATACGTTATCTTAAAGCTTTGGTATCCAGGGAAGAACAATTCAGAGCCAGTCTTTCATATACTAAGAAATTTTTTCTTATGAAAATTGATAGCTATGAATCTTGGTAAAATAACATATATAAGATTTAATTAATCTGATATTTTCTAGTAATCAAGCAAATCTTCGGTTAATTGAGAAGATGGGTATTTATCCTGATCGAAGTTTACGACAAAATCATGTTACATTGAAAATTATAGTCTTGATGATTATTGCAATCAAGAGAATGAAGTTAGTTAATCATATACTTATTTTTTAAATAATTAACGTACACTTTTATAGAAAATTTTCAATTGAATGGTCAAAACAAACAAAAATTAAGGAGAAATTATTTCAATCTCTATCATTAATTCGAGTAAACATATAAACCAAAACCTTAGCATTTATCATAAACAATCCATGTACATTTTTAATATTTAATCTTCAAAAGTCTTTTTTACATTTTTTTGGTCATAGGATTCCATAATAGACATAATATTCAATTTTTTTAGCTTTTCAAAATCTCTTACAATACTAATACCACAAATATTCTATTATTTAGAAACAATTCAACTTTAAATGTTATTACATACCTTAAATATTTCAACCATTATTAGAACATCATAATTCTTAAGATCCACTTTATGTGGTGCACCTACAAGAGGCACAATAGTTCTTATAATTTGTTCTCTTGTTAATTTTGTATGATTTCTAAGATTTGGACGAATAGCAAACTATACAAAATTACATTTTTTCATTTATTTATAAAATTTAACACTTTCCCTCAATGGTTCCAATTTATTTTCATGAAAATAAGGTTGCAAAACTTTCTCAGCTAAATTCTGAAGATCCAAAAGTGTTGCAGATGCAGTTAATGTAACAGGTGTCATACGTTTAGACCAACTAATAATACATATATCTTAATTATTGAAACAAATTGATATTTTAATATTTATATACCGGATTCCTTTAACACCACTTGAACATATTTTTTCACAAACATAACGAACTATTTGAACAGGATCTAAAGGCCATCTTGTCCTAATAAAAATAACTTTTTTTCATATTAAAAAATAGATTTCCTAGAAAAAAACATTTACCACATGATGTTTTAATATTAATTGGCTGTAACCAACGCTCTTTCTTTTTTAATATTGCAAGTTCTTGTGAAATTTGATCTTCAAGACTACCAGATGTTATGTTAAGCAATTCTTCTGATGATACACATGCATCATCCGATTTAATTGATGATGATGATATAAAAAGTTCTGGTGCTTGTTCTTCAAGATACTAAAAAAATAAGAATAAAAAGAAAAAAATATAAATTACTTGATAAAATAAATTAAGTACTTCACGTTCTGCCTGTTTTTCATGTTTACGCACACAAGTAATAAAGACTCCTGACCAGTTCGGCAGTAACATTTTTTAAATTAATAAGTGTAGAAAAAATTAATAAAAAATATAATGTTTAAAAAGCAAATAAACATTTTTTTTATTAATTTTTAGATATTTTTTACTTAAAGATTTAATTGATACTTAAAAATAAGTAAAAAACAGAGTAAAAAATAGGTAAATCCTATATTTTATTGAATGTTTTTTAAAGACAATTTTAATATTTTCTAGAGAAAATCTATTTTTTTTTTTAAATTTATGAATCATCCATATATTCCAGGTTCCTGGATAGAAACACCTACTCAGAGATCAAGAATTAATATGTTTCAAGGAGAAACATCTTGTATGAAGCCATATGATACAGTTGAAACCCATTATTTAGAGAAAATTAACGAATATTTAAAAAAACCAGAGGATGTAAAAGAAATTGATTCATATATTGAATCATTAGAAAGGGAACTGAATGTCTTAAAATTACAAGTAAATATTAGTGATATAATGATATAAATTATGTATTTTTTAGGAAAAAAAAGAAACAGATGAACTTATATATATTAAAGATAAAGTGAATCAAAATACAGAAAAAGTAAAAATATATAGTGAAATAGTCAAAAAATGCTTAAAAAATACATTGGAACCGTTTTTATGGGAGTCAGAAGAAGAAAAAATATTTTTTGAGGAATTATATACAATTATAAAATATTTAAAAAGTTTACAAGTATCAAAAACATATCTTTTAATTTTAATGCAAGTAGAAAGGCTCAGGTTTTGAATAAGAAAGATGTTTTTAAGGGGCTAAATTGGGATATAGTTGTTTAATTAAAGAATCTATTGAAACAGATAAAAAAACAGCATTAATATCATATCATCAATTAATTCAATTGAATTATAATCTTAAAGAATCAAATAAAAATTCAGATAAGCCGTTAGTACATTTAGAAATGTTTATTCAAGAAAGATTACATAGCTCGTGGGATATAATTGAAATAAAATTATGCAAGTATGTATATTTTTAAATTATATAGCAAAAATAAATCAATTAAAGAGAATTTCATGATCATTTTGAGGAAATAGGATGGCCGAATAAGATCAAAAAAGGGATTTCACCGAGTGATGAATCTTTTAAACGGTTTCAATCTAGTTTTCAAACATTATTGATTCAACATCGAGAAATGTAACTATTCATTTTTCAATTAAAATACTATTCTAACATTTTGTGAAAGAGTTAAAAGTCTCGAAAATAAAGACGAAAATCCTGAATGTACAAAGACTGATAATTTGGATGTTTTATTTCCTTTTCTGATTATGGTTCGTCCATTAAATATTCAATTTCGTTATCATTTTATGGAGAAAAGAAAAACTGATAGAATTGATAAAGTATGTAAAATTTTGAATCATATTTTTTTAAATCTATCTAGCCAGAATGGTTTTATACATATATATTAGATATCATATCTTCATGTGCGGATTTTTTTTGCATAAAGATACAAAATATTATCAATGAAACACCAGAACGTGACAGAAATTCTCTTAATGAGTTTATTACTGCTCTATTAAAAATAGTAGAGGAAAAAATACAGACATCTATTAAATATCTTTTAATGAATGTGCATATCTTTTCACATTTTGTTTATGAAACTATAAAATTCGATAATATTTTACAGCAGGATTTTGGATATTTTCCATATAAAGGTCAATGGAATGGAATGATTCATATTGCTTTAGGAGATCCAAAAAACTTTATGACATGGCTTGAATCCGAAAAAAAGTGTAAATATTCTAATATATATATATTCATGTTTTAACGTTCTAGTTTCAATTGAACAATTTCAAAATATCATAGACGTAAATATATCTCCAAATACATGGGATTTGGATTATGATAGTGTGGGAGAATCTGAAACTAAACCAACCAATTCTTCACTTCGTATAAAATGTCTTATAGAAAGTATTACAGGTTAGTTAATATATTATTTAAATTGTTCTAATCTTCAGAACAATATCGCCCTTTAAAGGATTTTAATCAAAAATCAATGTTTTTTACAGAAATTCAATGTTATATTTTAAATAGTTACTATGAAAGACTTAAATCTGCAGCAGATGCATTTGATGTAACATTTTCACGAATAATTCAAGCAGTATCTGGCAATAAAACAGACAAAATGATCCAAGATGTAAAAGGATTAGAAACGCTATGTAGAGTATATGGTAGTTGTATCTTTATAGAATCATGTTTATCTGATTGGGATGATGATATTGTAATGTTAGCTATTCTTATTTATTATTTCTAATGGGCAATTGTAGTTTTTTTTAGAATTATGGCAAAATTTAACAACAGAAAATAAGACTATTTATGAAGCCAATACAAATTCAGAAAATTCAAATTCCTTATTAGAAATTGGTCAGGGTAGTTTGTTTAGCAAAATATCACTTTTATACTTTAATCTTCATGAACGCACAGAAAAACTAATTATTCGGCATCTAGAGCGTGAAATAAAAGAAAAACTTCAGCCATATTTCAAGATGTTGGTACCAAAAAAGACAAACTACTCTTAATATTTACATAATTATAGTTATACATGGTCTTCTTCGGAAAATCCTTCATCTTCAATAGCCATGTCATCTCCAGTATCAATGCAAATGGTAGATGCACTAAAATTAGTAGATTCAATGCTCAATTTTTTAAAAAGAGCAGTTTCTCATTTAACTTTTCTTCGTATATATAGAAGATTTTCATTAACTGTTGAGAATCTCTTATGGAAAAAAATTATATTAAAAAAAGACTTTTCTGAAAGAGGAGGAATACAATTTACTAGAGATGTTTGGGAATTTTGGGCTACATGTAGCAAATATGTAGAAAGACCGGAACAAAATATGAAAAAGTTTGTATTATTAAAATTATTTTAAAAAAAAATAACAAACTACAGAATTGAAGATGCCACTATCCTTTTATCTTTAAATGCTTCAAATGAAGATGATAAAAAATCCATATCAACGGTTGCTTCTATAATTTTTGACACATACAAAAGTTTTGAAGAAAAAAAACAATATTTAAAAATGATAGGACTTAAACATATAAATACAGCAGAAGCAAGAGATATCCTTCAGAGAAGAATTGATTGTTGGGCGCAATAATTTCAAAAATTAATATAAAGCTAATTTAGCTTTTTTTCTACTTTTTTTTTAAATGTTTGATTTCATCCACAAACAACTTCATGAATATCTTTATTTCTTTCACTATTCAAAAAAAAACATATTAATACTTTTTTAAAGCTAAATCAAATTTCATATACATATATTTGGATTATGAGAGAAACGATATATCCAGGCAACCCCGCGATGAAATATAGACGACTTCAACAACTAAAGACATAAATATACATGAAAAACTGAAGTAAAGAATCATACTTTTTGTGTTAAATAAGGAGCAGTTATTTGAAAAAATAGACGTTTCCACATTTTTTTTCCGATTATACTTCGTAAAGTATAAAATTGTTTTTTTATACAGAAAAATACAATGAAAACATCATTTGATTCATTTCTGGATCTATCTTATGATGATCTACATGAGAAATTTATCCAACTTCAACTTCTTGAAAAACAGAGAAAAAAGTCATTATCTCCAGAATGGTCTATAACAGAGTCTCAAAAAAGAAAAAACATTCCAAGAAACAGATATACAGATATTGTTCCATACAATAAGTCTAGAGTTAAATTAGTAAACGAGGAAAATGATTATATTAATGCATCATACATTTTTCTTTCAAATGATAAAAAATATATAGCATCACAAGTATTTTTTTTAAATATATGAAAATAGGTTTTATATTGAGAATATTCTAGGGGCCACTAGAATCTACAATATTTCATTTTTGGAATATGGTTTGGAACAACTTAGAAGATCAAGGTATTATTTTAATGCTTACAAAAATTGAAGAACAAGGTCTTGAAAAATGTGCAAAATACTGGCCAGAAGAAGATAAAGAGCTTATTTTACCAGAGATTTTTTTAAAAGTCGAGTTTATTGGAAAAGAGTATAATGAAAAAGCAGAAACTCTTATTCATCATTTAAAATTATCTACGCTTAATAAACCAGCGTTATCAAAATATATTAATCATTTTTATTTTAAAAGCTGGCCAGATCATGGTATTCCTCAAAATCTCTTACCCTTTATTAATTTAATATCTTTGATTACTCTCATGAAAAAAAAAAATGATTATATTATTGTTCATTGTAGTGCTGGTTGTGGTAGAACTGGAACTTATATTGTATTGGATTATTTAATTTCAACACTTCCTACGCTTAAAGAGAATTTCAATGAAAATACAAATGAAGATCCTATCTTTAATATTGTTAACCAAATTAAACAACAAAGGATGTATATGGTTCAGGTATTATTTATATATACAAAGATATAATGTTTATATTATAATAGAGTTTCTCGCAATTTGAATTTATCTATAAGACTGTAAAGTATTTTCTAAAAACACTAGAATCTTAATGCTAATTTTCTAAAATTATATTATTATATATGTAATTAAATGATATATTATTCTTGAATTGATTATTTACATTATATATTAGCTATTCAGAAGGGAATATTGTTTCATCATTTTTCAGTTTCTTTGAATCAGAATCATTATTTTTTGCATCTAATAACTTTTTCTTTTTTTTTGATAAATTTAATGCAACTGTTCCTATTTTTTTCAAAGGAGTAATTATTTTCCCATTAGGAGGAAGACGAAGTTTCTGTTTTATAAACAAGTCTTCATCTTCTATCAATATGCTTCCACCTGATTCTAATAACTTCGATCTTAAGAATGGCTGTACTAAACCAATTTGACGTTCAATTACATCAAGTGTCACAGGCTCAAATTTCGAAGGAGGAATATGTTTAGTTTCTTGTTTTGTTATATTTCTAAGAATCAGATCAAAATTATAGAAAAAAACTATAAAAAACTTACACAGAGCCTGAGACACCTGGTCCTAGTTGTACTTTTCCATGCAACAAATGAAGAGGGACCTTTAA